TTGACTTCAATCGTCGTCGACATTTGAATGTTCGCCCCCACTATATTCGTCCGAATTTTTCGAACTTATGACTCAATGTACTTGTAAATAATGTATTGAGTGGAAGAAATTTTATCTATTTAAACTCGATAGTGTCACTGTATCACAAAGTTGGAGGAGTGTTTATGTAGAAATGAAAGCAAGCTTTGCCATGCTATTTATAAGCAAAGTATAAGAGGGAAGCAATTTTGGTCATTTAGCCTATTTATCAAGAGTTCTGAGAATCCATTTCATTGGGAGGCACGGATTTTAGAACCATATTAGTAAACACATAGAATTCCCCACGTCCACAACATTAGCACATTTATACAATTACAGATCATATCATAATCATACTACTGTCCTTCAGTCTCTACTTGAAAGTATCTGAATAATACTTTCTTAGAACAAAATAACATAAAATAAACATAGATGACAATAGACCTAAACAATTTTGCAAATAAATATGAAAACAAAACATGAACGTAAAAACCTTCAAAATATCACAAATTACAAGTTCAAAATGGTACACATTTTTTCCCAATAATAAAAAACATATTACTTAGTGTTATTTTCTCTTTTCCTACCACTCCTATTGTACGGAGTTTGATTTGACACTGGCGGTATTCAGTGTATGTCGAGTTCCGTTTCTTTGTCACCACGACTTTTTTTTTCATTTTTAGCTACATCAGTGGCAGTCGAGGGAACCTTGGTACAACCTTTTCATTGGGAAACGTTATTGTACGTCCTCCATGTATACATTCATCTTCGGACAAAACGAACTCGAAATCCGTTTGCAAAACTATTAGCATAAACAAATTCCAATGGTTAGATGATGATATAACATGCATTTAATTCGTACGACAAGTAGTGAAGCATTTGAAACAAGTTTAGAATTGTATTATTAACTATCGAGAAACCAAGTGAAACTATCTATCGAGAATGACAAATTTTCTTGACAGATGGCTTCCGTCTGAACTTCAAAAATACTCTCCATATGCTAGCATGAATAAGATGTTTAAAGGAATAATAATTTTCGAAAAGAACCCAATTTGTGAGGAAAAAGAGAAATAATTGAACACTATACATAATCCTTAAAAACTAACATATATGACTAATTTATGAAATAAAAAATCAACACAATATCCATTTAACTAAAAATTTAACAACAGAAGCACAAACAAAAAATATAAAAACAAAAACTCAATGCATCAATAAAAGCATACTCGTCAGAGACTTCATTTTCATCTATCTCCTCTCCAATATGAATAATTAAAAAAAATAAAAAACAAACAAAAAGATACAGAGAAAAGAAGAAGACAAAAGTCAAATTCAGAATATGGCAATTACTTGATATTGCAATCCCAGTTGCTACTAATTATAATTCGATAAACAAAGGTTGAAAATATGAGATAAAAATAGAGATTTCAATGATCATTTCATTTGTTCTAGATGCTATGTCGACCGGACGAGAAAGGAGAGTCGGGTGGAGGAGTGGCTAATGGAGGCCAGAACTTTCAAGATTTGAGTTTTGATTTTTTTTTTTTTTNTCATTGTATTTTTTGCTTTATTTTTACATAAAAGTGAAATTTTTTTTTTTTTTTGATATCCAGGTATCCTAGCTTACACCAGACTATGTCCTGGACCACCCATCCCAGGCCTCTCAGTGATGGGTGGAGGTTAACCGTGGGATATGCCCAATTTGACCAGGGTCTGTGCACTCTTTATACTCCTGACCCCAAGGGAGCTGTCCTCCATGAATATTACATCATCAATCTGCTCCACTCAAATTGAGTGTTACAACACTCAGCTGCTACATTCAGGAATCGAAATCCCCACCCTGAGAATGCAAGCCCAGCAGTGCCCATCCTTTGTCAACTTGGATGTGCTCCGGGGTCAAGAAAGGGGATTTTTTAATGTGAGGGTGGGGTGGGTTTGGTGTATTTTCATTAATTTTTTTTTTTTTTTTTTTACTTTTTGTGCTATTTTTTCATTTAGTCAAATCAATTTTAATTAAGGACATTCAAGGTATTTAGATTTTCTAGAAGGAAAAAAAAGTTCAAAAGTGATATTTTTGCAAAAATTATTAAAATGTGATATTTTTTAAAATGCCAATCCAAAAGTGACATGGCTGCAATTTCCTTATCAATTAATTTGAAAAATGAGTGATTTTACTCATCTATTTCGATAATGTTTGCCAAATACACAACTTTCACAAATTCAATTACGAGCATGCTATTTTCAAAACGATTGATAGAGAGGGGGAGGGTTCTCCTGAGAATAGAAAAGATAAATGAAATTTAATAGAATCTCAGAAACACATTTTTCCTTTTGGGGGCCACACATATATTCTTGCCCTTTACTTAGCATCGACTCATCTCTCCACCAAACGTTGAGGGGTGGGAAAGCACACTATGCTACATTCAAAATTTGAGATCGTCAATAGTGTACGAGGGAGGCAAGTTGATCAAAATTAGAGCGGGGAGGGAATGTTTATACGTATTTTGAATTCTTTTCACGGCGCAACTGGTGTTTTTACTCTTGGTATAAAACAACGTAAGTCGGCTTGATGATCCAACCTGTATTTTTGATAGGCCAACCCTGCCAACCCAGTCTATTGAAAGGTGAGAATACTTTAGTGTCTGGCCCTACTATAACGATAACTGGGCTCAAATAGTTCTTTCAATTTTTTTTTAGACAAAAGATTGAGGGGAGTGTATTCAATTGAGATTTTTGAAAATTTTGATGGACTTGTTTTAAATGATGACTTCTGTGAATTTCATGAATTTTCTAGAAATTTGTATGAAATTAGTGGAAATCTTTCGTAAACTTTTATAGACTTTCATTTCAAAATTTTTATAGACTTTTGTAGAATTCAAAAGAATTTTGAAAACTTTCATTTGAAATAGAATTTATGTACATCTAGGCCAATATTGTGAAATTATCATATACGAGATGATGATTTCCACAATTCTCCTTCTTCTTCTCTTTCCCCTCATATAATAAAAAAATATTTTAAGAAAAATAAAAATTTAAGACTTTAATTAAATAAATAATAATTATAAATATAAAAATTAATTTAATATTCAGTATTATTAATATAATATACCTTTAAAGAATAAATAAAAAAAATATATTTAAATTTAATTATAAATTAGTCTATATAAAATTTTATAATTTAATTAAAAATAGATATTTTTCAGAAAAAATAAATGGAAAAAAAAAAAAAAGTTATAAAAATACAATTTAGGGTGCGTTTGATGGTTATTATTTTGAAAGAATGTATTTTGGAATAANCAAAATTGCCTAATTAATTTTGGGAAAAAATGATGGAAAGTCCAATTAATTTTTTTTTAACGGGTAATCGGTTTGGGGTGATGCACCATCGCTAAATACCATACCCGCCCCTAAATTAAGCGGTTCATTAAAATCAAAATCATAACCGTCCCATTGCACCATCGGTTCGATTTTTTTCACCCCCATTCGATTCGGTTAACCACGGTTTTCGGTTTTAACAGTTCGAATTGCCATCCCTATTTATTTCTTTCATAAAAAATAGAAATAAATAATAAGAAAGAGAAAAAGAAAAAGAAAAATAGAAATTAATATAATCAATAGAAACTAATAAGTTTTAAATTTTTAATCATAACTCTAATGTGGGAAAAAGAAAGAGAAATATTGAAAAAAAAAAAAACATTAATTTCTTTTTTCTTTTTCTTTTTTTTTTGTGAAAGTCTCCAAAAATCTTGTGATTAATGAAAGACAAATTTTGAGATTTTATTTTAGTACATTCTGCTTAAAAGTTAGTACTATGGAGACTTTTACAAAAATCTCTAAAAGTCATATAAATTTGAATGCGTCAAGATTTATAGAGACTTCTAAAAAAATTGAATTGAATATATAATGACTTTTAAAAACTGTTTAAAAGTTTCAACTGAATACACCAATACTTTTAGAGAGTCTCCAAAAATTTACATTAAATATTCCTAAACTTTTTAAATCTCAAAAAGTCATTAAAAATCTCAATTGAATACATCCCTGAATTTCTTTCAGTTTTTTAAATTAAGGTTCTAATCAAGAGTTTAGACACCCAAGTCCGACAAGATCCACCTTTAATGGTGGGCTGAACTTTCTACAAGTCTTTAAAAATCAAAGTGCGTGCTTTAACTTGATTAGACTACAAGATATCAATGACATAAACTTTGATTAGAATTAAAAACCATAAAAATTGCAAGGGGTTAGTCTCATTATTTAAATCAGGACCTTAGAACCAAATGTCAAAGACTTGTGAATAATTTATGACAAAAATTGGGTGTAACATATAAGGTCAAAGAAGAGCACATGTAAGGTCCCGTAACTGATTAGTTTGAGAAAGAAATTCTGTCATGGAATAACAACAACCAATATATTTAGTAATTTTTTTGTCTTTCTTTTTTTTGGGTTGGGTAAGGTACACCGTACGATACTAAAATTATTATTATTAAAAAAAGGACATTAAAATCTTGTCCATTTTATTAGCGGATTCAATTGTATTCATTATTGTGGACTAGTAACAATCTCTTATTATTATGTCGATAAGGTAGGTTGTACACAATTTGACATATTGACGAAGAAAAAGAAGCTAAAATCTTGTTTATTATATTGTCCATTACGTTCAAAGACACGAATACTGTGAGAAAGAAATTAATAACTTGGGGGTGGACTTTGATCAATGCACGGCTTTTCTGTTAGGAAATCCATGTGGGATTGGAATAAACGGTAAGAGAACGTGGGAATAATTGAGTGGAATTAAGAATTTTTTTCAGACTTTCGCATAGATAATTCAATCCAAATGATTGAGGACTTTGCCACTTGCAGAATTCACATGTAAGGTTGTTGCATTGCGGAAGTTTTGATACCTATATAAGCACCACTAACTTTGAATTGCATATACCAATCTTTCTTTACATTCTTCTCCTTTAGCATCTGATAAAGAAAAAACAATGGCCACCGATGGCATTTTAGCACTACTACTTATATTAAGTTGTTTCGTCGTAAATGCCAGTGCTTTCACTGCGTCTAGATGGATGCAAGCTCACGCAACCTTCTATGGAGGTAGCGATGCTTCGGGAACAATGGGTAAGTGTTGAGCTTCGCTCGTTTTTTAATTATATTTCTATCGATGCGTTTTTTTGTTTTTGTTATTTCTACTCTGATCTTGCAAATGAGAACTGAATTCTGACATAAATTTTCTTGGTTTGGCCATAGGGGGTGCTTGCGGATATGGTAACTTGTATTCAACTGGTTATGGGACTAGAACTGCAGCATTGAGCACTGCATTGTTCAATGATGGAGCAGCCTGTGGACAATGTTACAAGATTATTTGCGATTTTAAGACCAATCCTCAGTGGTGCAAGAGAGGAATGTCTGTGACTGTTACGGCCACCAACTTCTGCCCTCCAAACTACGCTCTCCCAAGCGACAATGGAGGGTGGTGCAACCCACCCCGTCAGCATTTCGACATGGCTCAACCCGCTTGGGAAAAGATCGGTGTATACCGGGGGGGAATCGTGCCCGTGCTCTATCAAAGGTATTTACACTTCCCTAAATAGATTTTGCAAGACCTGAATCTCTGATGTGACATTGATTTATTTAAATTTAGTCTTCATCGTGCCCTACTTAATATTTTATATATGATGAAGGGTTCCGTGCAAGAAGCATGGTGGAGTTAGATTCACAATAAACGGTAGGGATTACTTTGAGCTTGTGATGATTAGCAATGTGGCAAATGCTGGATCAATCCAATCAGTGCAAATCAAAGGGTCAAGAACTAATTGGATGGCAATGTCTAGGAATTGGGGTGCCAATTGGCAATCCAATTCTTATCTCAATGGCCAATCTTTGTCCTTCACAATCACTACTACTGATGGAATAACCAAAACTTTCCTAAATGTAATCCCATCAAATTGGGGTTTTGGCCAGACATTTTCATCCCCAATTCAGTTCTAAGCTGAAGGTTGGTTCTCGAGTTTCAGGTTTTCAGAGGCAGCGGCGTGCTTACTATTTTAACTGAAGCAGCCCGCCGAATGTCTTGCATTATACGATACAGATACGGAGTTCTTGTTCATGGTTGATGGAGCCTGAAACTGAGGATTTGTACTGTATTTAGCAATTTATTTTCAAATTTACTGAAAATTACATATGCACAATAAGAAGCTGCCTCAATCTGCAGCTTCAAGAAAATTGTATTTCCATTTTTCTTGGATACTTGTAAGATGATTACTGCAATCACCGATACAATTCTTGTTTTCCGTAAGATTGTGTGGATTCTTCCGTTTTAATGTCAAATTTGTATCATGAAATTTGGATGTTGACATTTTTTTTCTTGATTTGATTTTCGTATAATTAAATTATTTTCAAACAGTTACCAGAAATTTCTTGAATCTAAAATTAATTATAATCCATCCAAATTACTTGCATTATAAGATAGTATTGATTCCGATCTAAGAAGCTTTGGTAGTAGGTTTTATCGATAAATCACTTTTTAAGGTACAATAAAGGCATCAAAATTGATTGACATAAATTTTAAATATTTTTAAAATACTTCACAGATATAAATTTTAAATAGTTTTATAACGTGTTAAGAGCAATTGATGCTGACATGTGGGATCTAACATAAACATAATACTCTAAATCGTCAAGCATACGATAAATATTAAATTGATGAATAATTTCTCAAAAATATTTTTAATCATTTACTTAAAATGGCGTCAACTTTAGATTTTAAACCAATCACATGTATCTGTATATAAATTATATAAAATAATCAATTATAATCAAAATCCGTTCTAAATGCAAGTTCATACTTTTCATTTCTACATACGAATTCTAATATGCAACCACTAAAATTTCAATCCACTTTATAACTTATTCTTACCGATCTGCACATGATACCATTTATTTGTGATAATTGAAGTTCTAAACCGTGAGCTTAGGGACGTGGTGCAGGCAAAACGTCACACCTTGACAGTAAGCGTGAAATTAAGTGGTTAATTGTCAAATTAATAGCTTAATGCGCTTCGTGCTTTATTAATTTTTTTAATTTGTTTTAAAAGTCTAGTATTTGTCTTTAGTTTCAAGTTTTTCCTTTGAAAATTGTATAATTAACTAATCGTAAGAATTATTAAGTAAATATAGAATTTTATAATTTTAGATGTTTAATATATGTGTTATTTTAATTATTAAATAATTTTTAGAATGATTAAAAATAAGAAAATATTTTTTTACATCCAAACTCGTAAAACTAGAAACTTGGCCTCTACATCTAATTATGTTTTACATTTTTTAGAACAATGATGATGATAGTCATTGGATAATACAATTCCGAGATTTGTACCAGTGACGCAATTGCTAATTGTCGATTATAAATAATATATTTTTTTTACTATGCTTAAGATTTAAATAAGGATAGCGAGCAACAAACCTGAATAGTCCCTAAACATTTTAGGATTCACCAGCAATGCCAATGATAAAACGATACTTAATTTCATTCTTTACGAGTTGATGCCAGGTCCACTCTCGTCAAATTAAGCAAGTTCTGACGCATTTCTATCGGAGGAGCGGTAAGAAAGGGGACGGACATGAACACGAGAGATGCTCTATGGCGGGATACAAAAGTATTTGAGTTCCAGCGGGTGGAACAAGATTATCGCGCTAACAACATTCACCAATCGAGAACTCAAGTAACTAACCAAAAATCTAATTAGAATAAGTGAAAGGATATAAGATAGTATGAATAGAAATTGTAAGATTGTGTATTAAGACATTTTTCTACCAATAGTTTATAATGGAGGATGAAAATGCTCACAAAATATGTTTGTAAATATTTCTTGCTCATTCAATATTCAAGATATCGGATTAAGAAATCAGAAATCAAATCATTTCTAAGTTACAAAGAGAACATATTTATAGTGCCTTGGCCGACGTGGTATCTATTGGATCATAACCGCATGGCCTAATCTCTTTAGTTGAGGTTTCACATCACTGTCTATTTATACAATTAATACATTGATAAGAGGTCAAACGCCCTATACAATAGGCTGACACATTGATATTGTTTATTACAAGTGTTATATCAATCACTTCTAAAAGATCTTCAAAAATTTTGTAAGAGACAGCATCGACTCCATAAGTTTCGGATGAATTGAGAGTCTCGGAGGGGTCTTTGTGTTGGTCCTCTGAATGGAGAGTTTCAGCTTCTTTTTTTGTTTCTTTAGGCAGTGTTTTAACCCAAGTTGTAGTACCTCGTCCGTTGAGGCAGTGCCTTGGTACGAGCTTCGATATTTTGCATAATTTCTTTATATTTGATTCCTTAGGCCTTTGTTGACTTTTCTGCTTACGTGGATTGTGATAAGTGTGTTTTTACATACTTATTTTACTGTCAAAACATGAGCAATTGTTGATTAAAATGTTGGAATATAACTTAATTCTNCGCTTCGTGCTTTATTAATTTTTTTCAATTTGTTTTAAAAGTCTAGTATTTGTCTTTAGTTTCAAGTTTTTCCTTTGAAAATTGTATAATTAAATAATTGTAAGAATTATTAAGTAAATATAGAATTTTATAATTTTAGATGTTTAATATATGTGGTATTTTAATTATTAAATAATTTTTAGAATGTTTAAAAATAAGAAAATATTTTTTACATCTAAACTCGTAAAACTAGAAACTTGGCCTCTACATCTAATTATGTTTTACATTTTTTAGAACAATGATGATAATAGTCATTGGATAATACAATTCCAAGATTTGTACCAGTGACGCGATTGCTAATTGTCGATTATAAATAATATTTTTTTTTTACTATGCTTAAGATTTAAATAAGGATAACGAGCAACAAACCTGAATAGTCCCTAAACATTTTAGGATTCGCCAGCAATGCCAATTATAAAACGATACTTAATTTCATTCTTTACGAGTTGATGCCAGGTCCACTCTCGTCAAATCAAGCAAGTTCCGACGCGTTTCTATCGGAGGAGCGGTAAGAAAGGGGACAGGCGTGAACGCGAGAGATGCTCTACGGCGGGAGACAAAAGTGTTCGAGTTCCAACGGGTGGAACAAGATGATCGCGCTAACAACATTCACCAATCGAGAACTCAAGTAACTAACCAAAAATCTAATTAGAATAAGTGAAAGGATATAAGATAGTATGAATAGAAATTGTAAGATTGTATATTAAGACATTTTTCTACCAGGAGTGTATAATGGAGGATGAAAATGCTCACAAAAAATGTTTGTAAATATTTCTTGCTCATTCAATATTCAAGATATCAGATTAAGAAATCAGAAATCGGATCATTTCTAAGTTACAAAGAGAACATATTTATAGTGTCTTGACCGACGTGGTGTCCGTTGGATTAGAATCACATGGCCTAATCTCTTTAGTTGAGGCTTCACATCACTGTCTATTTATACAATTAATACATTGATAAGAGGTCAGACGTCCTATACAATAGGCTGACACACTGATATTCTTTATTACAAGTGTTACATCAATCACTTCTAAAAAATCTTCAAATATGTTGTAAGAGACAACATCGACTCCATAAGTTTTGGATGAATTGAGAACCTAGGAGGGGTCTTTGTGTTGGTCCTCTAAATGGAGTGTTTCAGCTCCTTTTTTTGTTTCTTTAGGCAATGTTTTAACCTAAGTTGTAGTACTTTGTCCGTTGAGGCAGTGCCTTGGTACAAGCTTTGATATTTTTCATAATTTCTTTATATTTGACTACTTAGGTCTTTGTTGACTTTTCTGCTTACGTGAATTGCTACGTGACACTTTGACTTTGAGCCTCGGTGACGAGGTATAACAATAGTCTCCCAAATCTAAACATGATTATTTATATAATGCGAGGACTTGAATATAAATAAAAAATTTAGTAGGGGGTGGTTTTACCACACTACAATAGTCCCCCAAGTCTAAGTATAAACATTTATGTTATAGTTAGAATTTCAAATGTAAATGACTCGTGCAGATCTTCTGCCAGTGTTGCCCGAAATCGTATACTTAGAGGTATTTCACTTTCTGAAACAATTGGGGAAGGGTCAGCAAAGCAGAGTAATTCTACACTGTTTTGACCAAAGTACCTTTTGCACATTCGAAGCTTTGTCTGAATTGGTTGGGAGGAGTGTGTCTGACCCTTACTGGGCCTCAGAATTGATTACGAGGAGCTTGATTTTAATATGGTTGAGGAACACGAGGCGTCCTTAATTATTGCATCCAAATGATTTGTTGTCGTGGTACGTTTTTAAAAAAAGACAGCTGAAACGGTTCAACTTCCCATACATGCAACCGTCGCTGCATTTAATGGGCAATGATTGATGTTTCCCACACATTTTGTGTGCTTCAAGCGCATGAAAGTTAGTAAAGCAAACACTCTGATTTGGGTTGTAGAAGACGAAGCGGCAGAGTGTTGAGTGGCTCGTATTTCATCTTCAAATGAACGATTAGATGACCTGGATCGACATCCAATGGCTGGGATTAAGGGCCTCGCCTCTATTTCTGGATCCAGCGCTTCGTTCTCTACCTCTCCCTCTTTGAGGGTACCTTTTATAGGGTCGATTCTGATACATTTCAACACCAGGGTTCACTTCCTCATAAGCTAAAGTAGGCACTGCATTGAGGTCTGGTGATCCATCAAATATGAGGTAGGACCTCTTCCCCTTTGCATTTCAGGAGGGACGAGTCATTGGCTTGCCTTGTTCCTATGATCTCTTAATTCTTTATTGAGGATGTCGCACCTTATCATTTCCTATAAGGCAACGTAAGTGGAAGGATCCTTGTTTTGCATATCTTTCAAAAAGAGAGAGTTCATGTCCAAACTACTCCTTTGGGCGGTTAGAGTCTCCCTATCTGTTACTTGCACACAGTAAGTTATCTCAACAGTGAAGCGGAACAAGAAACTTTTCAGAGACTCGCCCTGCTACTGTCGCATGTCTTGCAAGTGTTGAATTGGTCTTTTTCTTTCTTTATTGGTGGCGAAGCGCTTTAGGAACATCATTTTTAAGTCTGGCCAGCTCCGGATACTTTCTTCTGGCAACCTGGTATACCAGATTTTAGCTGATCCACTAAGGGTCAA